AAGAATCTCAGACTGACCTCTCTGCCTCCCACACTATGCCCTCGTCAGTTATGCCTGGCTGAATAAACTTTACAAGGGAGTTCCTGCCCCATCTAATCAGAACTGCTCCATGATGACCAGCCAGAAAGTGCACACATTGGATACCTCATGTACGTAAAATGGACCTAACTGGACCATGGGCAAGAACTTTTGCCTTGTTTTCACTTTGTCTTGCGGAACACAATTTAGGGTGCTCACTGAGTCTGTGTCTCCTAGGCTACAGCTCCTTTTGCTCAAATAAGTGTTTTTAATTCTTTATTATAGTCTAAATTTTGGTTAACAACATGAAGGTCTTGTTCTTGCTATCTGCATCTCAGATTTAGGTCATGACCACTCAGCCTAGGTCATCCTCCAGGCATAGGTCATCACAGTGCCCTCTAAGTAAGACCTCTGGGTAGTTGGCAATGGGAATAAGGAATTCGTGACAGAATATAAAATGATGCACTACTTTCTTTATAGAGAATTTTTGCTGTGTAACAAAAATGTCAACGATAATATCTAATATGTAAGAGTCGTACTTGTTTTATTTGTAAACTATAGATACCAATATGGTGGAAATTCTAGAAAGAAGTTTTTCATCTTTGTGGGTGTGTTGTCTGTTGTCATTTTCTTAATTTATTTTTTTATTTTATGTTTTCCCATCACAGTTTATCCCCCATACCCTCTTCTACTTACACCCATTCCCTATCCCTATAATCATCATACTGTGGCCCATGTCCATGAGTTCTTTCTTCTTTTTTCTTTTCTTTCTCAATCCTTCCACTCCCACCAACCTCACCAACCCCCAGAGTTGTCAGCCTGCTATGGGCCTGCCTCTATTTTGCTTATTTAGAGTTCAGTTTATGCATTATTTCTTTATTTAAAAGATTTTATTTATTTATTTTCAGAGAGGGAAGAGAGGGAGAGAGAGAGAGAGAGAGAGAGAGAAACATCAATGTGTGGTTGCTGGGGGTCATGGCCCGCAACCCATGCATGCACCCTGACTGGGAATCGAACCTGCGACACCCTGGTTCGCAGCCCGCACTCAATCCACTGAGCTACACCTGCCAGGGCTTATTCATTATTTCTACATGTGAGTGAAAAAGCTAGAAGTAGCTTTCTGTTGATCATAAATCAGTCCTGATTATCTGATAAAGACCTGTATGAACATGATATTTTTCTATAAATTATGAATGCAGCTATTTTATTTATTTTTTAAATTGTATTTTTAATTATAGTTGACATTCAATATTATTTAATATCAGTTTCAGTTGTACAGTATAGTGGTTAGACAATCATATACTTTACCAAAGTATTCCCCTCAGTATTTCCAGTACCCACCAGGCACCATACATAGTTATTGTAATATCATTCACTCTATTCCCTGTGCTGTACTTTACAACCCTGTGACTGTTTGTAACTACCAATTTGTAGTTCTCAATCCCTTCACTTTTTTCATGGGCATAATATTCTTATTTTTAACCCTTAGTTACCATCCTATTACATCTTATCAGCCAAAAAATGGAGGAATGATGTGTGTCTGGGTAACATGAAGGTCAAGGGAATTCTGTTAGTGTGTAGTTACAAGACAAAAATGTCAGTGCTACTTTTCCTTTATCTTGTGAGAGGAAGAAAGGACAGAGGCTCGGCAGGTCCGCATATCCATTTTATCTATACCAACAGCCTAAAGTACAGATACACTCTGCAACTGATTGAAGTAAATTGTAAGTGCTTATTTGAACATTGCATTATGGAAATTAATGACTATAAATTGTATTTTCATTTAAGGAGTTTTAGTGTGTTTTTTCCCATGTAAAAGAATTAATGTCCTGGTTAAGATCCCAGAATTATGTGCCACAGAGCATGGAAGAGCCATTTTGGCCTGGAAATGTTAAGGGCAGATGTGATCAGTTATTCATAGACATTGAAAAACTTTAATAAATCTTTTGCAAGTGCATAATTTTCAAAAGCACAGCCTTCGTGGATTAGTTAGCAGTAAAATGCTATTCCAAGCAGTTGAAAGTATTAACATTATGGATGGAATTATATCTCATCATTCATTATATTTCTGAACAATTCCTGACAAAAAACAACTGTGTTGGTATTCAGTTGTTGTTACTGAATATTTTCCTCCTGAGACTAATTAAACAACAGGTTTAGCTGCCACTTTAAAATTATGTTATTATTTGGTTCAAATAGGTGATATATGTACATGTTATAAAGTAGAAAGGCACTCAAGTGTAGAACATGCAAAAAAATTCTCAGTTCCATATTTCTATCAAGCCATTTAGTTCCTTCCTCAGAGTCATTCACTGTTATTCTTTTAAAGTGTGTTTCCAGAGATAATTGTTTTCATTTATTGATTTTTTTGGAGAGGAGGAAGTGAGAAACATTGATTTGTTGATCCACTGATATGTGCATTCGTTGGTTGATTCTTTTTTTTTTTAAGATTTTATTTGTTTATTTTTAGAGAGAAAAAGGAATGAGAAAGAAAGAGAGAACAACATCAATGTGTGGTTGCCTCTCTTATGCTCCTTGCTGGGGACCTGGCTTGCAACCCAGGAATGTGCACTGACTGGGAATCGACCACGACTCTTTGGTTCACAGGCCCATAGTCAATCCACTGAGCTACACCAGCCAGGCATTTATTGATTCTTGTATATGCCCTAACCAGGGATCAAACCCACAGACTTGGAGTATCAGACAAGGACCTAACCAAATGAGCTACCTGGGCAGGGCCCAGAGACCATTGCTTTCAAACAAAAATCACAATACATCCATAATGTTATGCATCCTGATTTCTTCCAATTCAAAAAATTGGAGACTTTCCTTATCAACACATAAAGATTTACCTAATCTGACTGCTAAGTGGTATTCCATCTTATGAGTAAACCAAATTAGCTTCAATACTATCTTAGTATTACTAGACCTTTATGTTTGTTTGTTTTTTTCTAATCTTTATATACAGAAAAAATATTTTACAGTCTAGTTGAATTCCTAGGATATGCAAACTACTCTCGCTCTTTCTTTCCAGAGAAATAGGGTCCTTTCTCAATTTATAGAGAAAAAAAGTTGTATTTACCATACTTTTCCTTGATTTATAAAAAACTCTTCTGTCCTCTTATTTCAATTTTCACATTTAGCAAACTGATTGTATTAGATCTCCTTTCTTAATCTTTTCTATTAATCTTTTTCTCTTTTTTGTACTTTGTTTAGTTTTATTTCATTTACTTTTCAATCCTATTGCTATTTTCACTGTGTTTTCAGCCAGAACAGTTCTCTTTTGTGTTGCTCCTAGTGTGGGATTTACACCTGAGAATTGTTTATCCCTCTTACTTTTTTCCTCTGATTTACTAACACATGTGCTGTCTTTCTCTGTTAAGTGCCACATCTTTTTAAAATTCTTGTATTTCTGCTGTAAAGTATTGGTCATGCTATCTCTCATTTTATTAAGATTTAAACCCTGGCTGGCATATCTCAGTGGATTGAGTGCTGGCTGTGAACCAAAGTGTTGCAGGTTCGATTCCCAGTCAGTGTACATGCCTGGGTTACAGGCCATGACCCCCAGCAACCACACATTGATGTTTCTCTCTCTCTCTCTCTCTCTCCCTCCCTTCCCTCTCTAAAAATAAATAAATAAAATCTTCAAAAAAGATTTTAAAAAATTTTGTGGCAATTTTTTGTCATAATTTTATCTGCTCCACGAAATCATTTTTTTTCCTACTGAATGTGTTTGTCCATTCTTTATTTTTCTGTTTCCTTCTTTTTATTCCAGAGTTTTTCTGTAAATCTAGTGCTGGCTTTTTAGTTTCAATGAGTTGAATTCTGGGATCAATAATTTGCAGAATTTTTTTTGTGTGTAAGGCAGTTTTTCTTAGGGCATTATTGAATTAGGGCATGATTTACTTAGTTTATTATTGAAGAAATATATTCAAAATATATATTTTTATATTTAAGGCATTTAAAATGTCTTAGCTTAATGATCCCTTCATGTTCATTTTGACCTTCATCAGCCAGGAGTATCTTAAAATAATGAAAAGAAGAGGTATTGGGTAAATTTAATGTCTGAGCAACAAGAATTTAATTTAACTTAGTTAGCAACATGATACCTCCTGGCTCTAATTAAACAGAGCTCAATAAAAAATAAGTTTTAAATTTTAAACAAATAATTATATAAAGTATATTTGAGAGTTATTGACTTATTTATAAAGAAATAAAATCACTGGTAGAGTGCTACTCAAACTGGAAATATAATATTGTGAATTACTAAAATAAATTTAAAGCTTTTGTGGCTATTATCTGATGGTGTTAACATACATTTTTAAAAATATTTTTAAAGATTTTATTTATTTATTTTTAGAGACGGGGAAGGGAGGGAGAAAGAGAGGGAGAGAAACATCAGTGTGTGGTTGCCTCTTGTGTGCCCTCTACTGGGGACCACACCTGGGACGCAGGCATGTGCCCCTACTAGGAACCAAACCAGCAACCCTTTGCTTCACAGTTTGGTGCTCAATCCACTGAGCCACATCAGCCAGAGCTTAATATACATTTTTGATTGTCTTTTTTTATAGAACAAAAGTGTGATCAACAATTGATAATCATTGTATTGAAGTTACTTTTTCTGGGTGATGTACCTCTCTGAGATTCTAATAAAAATTTATTACCACACTGATTTACCTATAGTTTTTGAGAATGTAGGTTTCTTTTTTTTTCTTCATTTCAGCATAGGAATTTGAGCATTAGCATAATATATAAAACCAACCTATATCTCTATATATTTTTAAGATTTTTAAAAATATTTACTCTTATATGTCAGCATCATTTGGACTCTACCATTTAAAATAGTCATATTTCTAGTACTAAGGACTGAGTTAAGCAAAGAGCATAACAGACCTTTGAAGGTAAATCCCAGTGTATCCAAGGGTCATGCAAGGTTGAAATAGTTTGAAACAAAACAAAGAAATAAAATGAAAAACAATATGTAAGAGTCACACTTGCTTTATTCAGAAACTACAGAAGCCAATATGGTGGAAATTCTAAGCAGAAGTAGCTTTATCTTTCTGTGTGTGTGTGCATTGCCCATTGTCATTGTTTTAAATACATATTTCTTTTATTTGTTTTCCATCACAATTCATCCCTCTATATCCTCTTCTATATCTACCCACACCCCTCCCTCCATAATTACCACACCATTATCCCTGCCTATGAGTTCTTCCTCTTTAATCTTTTTTGCTCAATCCCTTCACACCCTCAACCCCCCTCCAGAGCTGTCAGCCTATAAGTCTGTCACCATTTTGCTTATTAGTCCAGTTGGTTCATTAGGTTCCACATATGAATGAAATCATATGGAAGAAGTAGCTTTTTCTTGGTCAGAAATCAGTCTTGATTATCTGATAAAGAACTAGTTTGAACATGTAATTTTTGTAAAGAAATTTTGAATACCACTATTTTATTTATTTTTTTAAATTTCATTTTTAATCACTATTGACATTCAATATTACTTCATATCAGCCTTTACTTAATATGCCTTTACTTCATATGCCTTTACTTAAGGCATAAAACATAGTAGCTAGACAATCATACCCTTTGCAAAGTATTCTCCTTGATATCTCCAGTACATGGCTAAAGCAATTATGTCTATCACACCTACCTTCGAGAACAAACCTTCCGGAACTCACGTAAGTATCTTTTTTGTGACAAGGCCTTCCATTAGAATTTCCTCATAGACCCTACCATATGGTGGATTTGCCCACTGATAGGTTAAAACTATATTAAATATAATCTGTTTCCTCTTCCTTTTCCTGTTTCTTAAGAGTTAGACCAGGAATTCCCACCTATTTCTGCCAAAATTTGTCAACACTTATTCACATAACACTGTATTAGCATAGGGCTATGGGAAAATAATTTATCTAAAAGAAATGGAAGAAATGATTATGTCCAAAGAATACTTGCTTTTGAAATTGTTAATGCATAAAAATAAGAAAATTTTAGAATATTTATGAATAATAAAAATTTATTTTGAAAGGTTAAAAGGAATTTTTGCATTTATGAAATTACATCAACCATAAAGAGAATAAGTTGAAATGAAAACTATCTGGGAGGCAAAACAAAAATCACTACCCTTAATAACAGTGGTAATAAGATAATAGATTAGCTATAGAAGGCAAATCAGAGAGGAAGAGCAAATATCAGGGGGGAAACATCCTAAGTGAGAGTAGTTCTAAGGAAGCAATAAAGAAAAATTAAAGGGAGACTAAATTGGGACAGTTTGATGTAATTAGACTCAAGAATAATAGGACCAGAGGAGGTGAGAATAGAGTGGACAGAGGAAAAATAAGAAACATATATTTAAAAATTGTCACAAAATAAAGATACATTTTAACTAGTAGATTGAAATACCTTTGACGACTTAAGGAAGAATATGTTAGATAAATAATAATTAAATATATTTGGCAAAATTATACATGTGTATGTGTGTTTGTGCATTTCAGTTTACTATGACTGCTGTAATACATTAACACAAACTTTATGACTTAAACAATTCAAATTTTTCCTCTCTCAGTTCTAGAAATTAGAAATTTGAAATAAGTTTCACTAAGTCATAACCAAGGTCTCATCAGGGCTACCTTTCCATCATTGGCGCCAGGGAAGAATTCATATTTTTGTCTCTTCTAGATTCTGGTATCTGCTGACATTCCTTAGCTTGTGGCTGAATCTCTCCAATTTCTGCCTCTGTGGTCACATTGCCTTCTTTCTCCTCTTCTGTGTTGTCAAATCTCCCCTCGGTCTCTTTCTTATAAGAATACATGTGATAGCATTTAGTGCCCTCCTGGATACTCCAGTAAACACCCCCTTCTCAAGATTTTATAACTTAATCATTTCTGCAAAACTATTTTACACACTACAAGGTAACATTTACAAGTTTCAAGATTAAGAAGTAGATGTCTTTTGAGGACCCATTACTTAACCTTATGAGCTACATGTATGCATGCATGCATATGTAAATCTTATCAGTACCCAAAAAGAGATATGGGTTGTATGCATGGAAACAAAACTCTACTTGTTTTTAGATTTTTATTCTCTCAATAACTCAGTATAGTTGAAGAAAAATATTTAAATGGTGATATTATAAATTTAACCAAGTATTTATTTATTTGCAAAGGCAAAGCAACCAAAAGATTCACTGAGCCATAAAAACCTTGGTTTATTTTTTCTAAAGAAAACATTTTGCTGAATTATAGATAGAAGGTAGATGAGTCAAGATTACAAACTTATGGAGAAGAGAGTTGTTTTATAAAAGTCTCGCAGTAAGCACTATGGCTTAAGAGAGACTCAAACATCAAATCAAGTCTCAGTGCTAGAGAGTGGGCTCTGCTCAGTCCAGATTTACACTCAATCTCTACGTAATCTCCTTCAGTCCAGTGGCTTTGTATAACATCTTGATGCTGGAGACAACTTAATTTATATCTCCAATCTAGAAATCTTCCTTCAACTCAACTCTCATTTAACAAAGAGTTTTTTTTTCTCTTTCTTAGATATCTAATAGGCATCTGGAAGTTAACACACTCTCAAACAAACTCTTGTTTCTTTTTTTTTTTACTTTTTAAAAAATTTTAATTGTTCAAATACAGTGTTCTGCCTTTTACTCCCATCCCAGCCACCCTCCACTTGTTTCTTTATTTAGACCTTCTGGACCTACAACTTTCCTTTTCTCAGAATATGATAAGCCTATTCAACCAGTTACTTAGGCAGAAAATGTTTATTTACACCTCTAAATTAACATTTTTTAATTAACACATTGAATGAATAAATAAATTATGAATTAAAATTTCTCTCAGTAAATACCAGCACATATTTTAATATATATATGTTATGTAAGCATATACATTTTTATAGTAGACAAAAATTCACATATATGTAACTATATATCAAAAAACTTAAAAAGTTTTCTTGGTATGATTACAATTTTTAAAAATATTTGCTAAGATTTATTTTGATGAACACACATCTTAAAATTTTGAACCAACACTATTAACTTTTTCTACAAATAAGTCAAAGAAAAAAAGAAATGATAATTAATTGGGATATGGATATGAATCATCAAATTATTTTCAAGATGGAGGACCTCCTCAGGTACTTGTCTTCTTACATGGTAAAAGTAGTTTATCTCTAAAGTTGCCTTTAAAATCTGTTGAGTAGGAGTGTTTTATATGGGAAAATATCCCAAAATATTACACTCTTGAATTTCTTTAGGTGAGATCCAGGTAGATTTAAGAAAACTGATACCCCATGCATTGGATTGATACTAGCAATGTGATACTTTTCATCAGGACATTAATATACAATAATTTAAATATTTCTTCAAGGAATAGGGATAATTTAAAAAGTTGAAAATATGATAAAAAGACATCATAGAAATATCAGAATGTTTTCCAGAAATTGAAAAATATATATGAAATAGAATTCCATATAATAGTGCTAGACAGTGATCAGGAAACTTAGGTGTTCTGGAATTTGACACAGTCCTTGGAAGCCTTACATCTACTTTAAGAGAAATAAATAGTTGCCTCTCTACTTGCCTTTAATGCCAGGGAAATTGAGAGAAAGGACATGGTACTTACTCTCCATCTTTGAAATCTTCAAAAATCTAAAAAGAAAGAAGGAATAGTAGGGTTCTGTTAGAATTTTCACTTAACATTTTGCATATGACTTCAAAGAGAAAACTCCAAGGGAGATTATTAAAATTTTATCGTTCATGGTTATGTGAAAATGTTAATTCACTTACCAAAGAGAATATTATACACACATTTGGTTTAAAATTGAAATGCTACAGCAGATGTTAGCATTTGAGTTTTTCATTCACTTAATACCTTGCACAAAGATAGTAACTTCAAAATTATCATATTACAATGTTGTAAAACAAAGGCACATTTCAACTAAAGAAAGCCAGAGAAATATCTTTAAGAACAGTGGGAAAGGAAGAGTCTTCTTGCATGAAAAATGTTGTTTTGGGCTTGGGGCTATAGACTAAAGGCTCATTTCCATTGCTGTGAAAAAACCATAGCTAAACCAAGTTATGTTCCTTCCAAACTCATGTTTCTGGGAATCACATTTCCTAGGGCCTGTACCCAAAGGCCTAATAGTATAATGAAAATTTGCATTATACATATAAATGTAATCCTTTATATCACAAGGACTTCTAGACAACAGAACAAAAATCTGTAGCTATTACTTTGCATTAAAGAAAATTAAAGGAGAAGAGAAAAAGGAAAATAAAAGAAATAATATGTGAAAAATGAATTTGTTCCCAGCCATTCTATCAGGAAAACAACATCACCATGAAAAGTTACATTTGATGTAGAAAGGAAGAAGAAAAATATTCTGAAATATTAAGTAAATGGTAAAAATTAAAAATGTCAAAAACTTAAAATTGACACAAATATGCAAACTATTATCTGCTTAACTTCTTACAGGGGTGTTCAACCTTTTGATGTCTCTGAGTCATACTGGAAAAAGACAAGTTGTCTTGGGCCACACATTAAATATATTGTGACACATAATCACAAAAATATCTCATAACATTTTAAGTAAATTTGCAATTTATTGTTTGAACACATTCATAGCCATCCTGAGCCACATGTGGCCCCTGGGCCACCAGTCAGACACCCCTGGAAAATATTAGGGGAAAACCAACAAAAATAGGCATTCAATACCTCATAAATTCAAGTTCTGCCACCCTTTTCATTAGGTTGTTAAGAGAGTCATTGTTTCTGATGAATATCTGCTGCAATAAAAATATTTGCATTTTCCTAGTTAGAAAGTGGAAAATTGGTAGGATTATAATGGTTCCTAGGTCTTTTAAGAAGTCTTGGCTGTTGGTTTAAGCTGTTAAAGTAAAAATTTAGTGGACAAAGTCAATGGGAAGGGATGATTTTATTCAAGGCTGCTGCAATAGAGGAGAGAAATTGAACTCCTCTGTAACAAAAGCTGTGAGGGTGTTAAGTGCTAAGGTGAGTTAGTTAAAAATTTCTTGAGGACATTGGGAATGGGTTGACCAGTTGGTTGTGTTGAACACATTGAGTCATTATTGAATTTGCAAATGTTTTTTGTCTATGATTAGGCCATCTGTGTTTGGTAATCGGCTCCCATCAAAGTTATGATCTTACCTTTCCACAGAGACTGGCAGATGAAGGCACTATCTTTTTAATCCCTAGTTTCAAAGGAATAGTTCCCAGGTCTTTGAGAAACACATGTCCTGTGTAGTAAATCTGACAAGAGGCTGGGAGATTTACATACATCTCCAGGGGTGGAGAAAGAATTAACAATTGTCAGATTTCTGAAATAGGTCAGAGGCCTGCAGTCTGGAAGAAATCTGTCCAAAGTTTAGTCAAACTGAGGAGAACATAAGAGAAGGAAGGAATTCCTACCATTCATGACAGCATGGATGGAACTGGAGAGCATTATGCTAGGTGAAGTGACCCAGGCGGTGAGGGACAAATACCGTATGATCTTACCTATAAGTGGAAGCTAATCAACAAAACAAACATGCAAGCAAAATAGAAGCAGAGACATGGAAATAAAAAACAAATGGACAGCGACCAGAGGGAAGTGGGAGCAGGATAACAGGGGAAAGAAGGGAAAGAGTCAAGAAACTTGTATAAAGGACACATGGACAAAGACAAAAAGACAATGGTGGTGGAGGAAGGGTTGAATGTGGAGAGGGGAGGGGAGGGCAGGGGCAAGTAATGGGAGGAGATGAGGACAACTGTAACTGAACAACAATAAAACAGAAAACAAAAAACAAAAAAGGAGTATCTTGGTTAAGGCAATGACTGAATTTATAGTGCAGTTGAATTAGCTATATAAGTAATGTTTCTCTGGTGTTTTTCTTTTTTCTCCCCCTTGGTTAAACTTAAGCATAGCTATCATAGGTAGATAATCCATGCACAGATAGATAGATAGATAGGCAGCCAGACAGCCAGACAGACAGATCATTCTCCTGGCATATTCATTTCAAAGATTTTAAAAATTCTTAACGTTGTTAAATAAAATTTTATAGTATATTCTCCAGAGAATTATTTGTTAAGTATATTTTTTCCTCCCTGACCTGTTTGAAGGAAATCGAAATAAATAAATAAATAAATAAACAAACAAACAAATAAATAAATAAATAAAAGCAAATTAAATGAGAGGGTTTTTGCTTAATCCTTTTACTTTTTTAACCCAGCCCCATACCCCCTCTCCTAGGAGTGTTAGTCTGGTCTCTGTCTGTGACTGTTTCTATCTTGCTTGCTATTGTATTATGTTAATTAGATTCCAGATGTGAGTGAAATCATGTGGTACTTGTCATTCTCTGGCTGGCTTACTTCACTTACCATAATGCTCTCCAGGTCCACCCATGCTGATGCAAAGGGTGAAATTTCCTTTTTTATGGACTTGTGGTGTTGTGTAAATATATCAGCTTTCTTATCTACTCATCTACTGATGGATACTTGGGTTGCTTTCAAATCTAGGCTATTATAAATAAGACTGCAATGAATATAGGGGTGCATATACTCTTTCAAATTTGTGTTTTGGGTTTCTTTGTACATATTCTCAGGCTATATCTTACTTTAGTTTTTAATACGTGACATATGAATAGATAGCCATCATATAGTATAATGCATTCTCCTTATTTGAATATGGCAAAATCCCCTTTATACTCCATCTTGGAATAATTCAGTGAAAGTTTTTATGGTGATCTTTTGCTGAACATTAATAGACTCCTATGTGTATAAATGCATGTATTTATGCATCTACCTCTGTGTGTGTGTTTGTGGTGGTCCTTTCTTTATTTTTTGACCTTCTGATGGTTCCACCAAGATTGTGTCTGTAAATGACCTATTGGTTTATCTTCACATTAAATGCATTCAGTCAAAAACCTTGTATTCCCTTTATTTCTTACCATCTTAATTTTAAAACAAACTATAAAGAGAACCTTTTGCTCTAGTTGGTGTAGCTCAGTGGATTGAGCATGGGCTTCGAACCAAAGCATCTCAGGTTCGATTCCCAGTCAGGGTACATGCTTGGGTTGCAGGCCACGGCCCCCAGCAACTGCACATTGATGTTTCTCTCTCTCTTTCTCCCTCTCTTCCCTCTCTAAAAATAAATAAATAAAATCTTGAAAAAAGAGAGAGAGAACCTTTTTTAAAGATTTCATAAGACTACAACTACCACAGGAAATTTGACTGCTGAGTTTGCTTTCTTCAGCAATGTTTGGAAGGTTCCATTTATTAGAATATTCTGTTAAAATGTCACAACAGAAATTACATTAAGATTTATCCATGGAATTTATTTTCTGATTGATCAGAAATTAATTACTTTACTTTTAAAAATTATACCTTTCCTCTTGATGTTTCATATATTAAAGATTCCACATTAAGAGGGGGTTCAAGTGATTCCGAGAAGCATAGTGGATCCTGGAAGGACCCTGCAATGGCGCCTGAAATCAAAGCCTGATAACGCACCTACCACTTGTGTATGTGTGTTTTTCCCTTCATCTCAAGATAAGGAAGAACTAGAAAGCCAAAATGTCCATTTCTAGCAATACTGAAATGCTGTCAAAAGTGACTTTGCTTTTATACCAACTCTCTCTAACCAGCTGAAGCTGATCAAGTACCATGAACTTTGAGTGAGGATGGCAGACTCGTACTAGCTCTAACTATAGTCACACAGGAAAAAAGAAAATGAGACTGACTTAAACAGTGTATGGACATGTAGACACACTTTGTTACATCTTGAGTACTAGTTTTCAATTAATATAAGCAACAAGTCTGCAGGTTTTTAAATCTTAACTTGTACCCTTTAGTGAACTACAGTGAATTTATTCACTAGGTATGATCCATTGCCATGCAAGTTAGTAAATGTAGTTTTGTAAATTTTAGGTTTTAAAAATAGTATTATTTGTCTGTCAAAAGTATAAATATTTGTCTCTTAGAATAGAACAATGTTCTTATGAAAACTGAACAATTGTTCCTAATCTTTCTGGGTCTAGCCAAGTTTTCTATCCCAGATAGTACGTAACTTCTGACTTTAGATTTCTGCTCATCTATTTTTTTTTTATTAGTTAGTTATAGGAAGAGCAATTTACATAAGCACATGTTTGGGGAAGGTCAAAGAGTGGGGAGTTGCAAAAGGGCAAGAGTTGAAAGAATAAAGAATATGATTTGGTGATTCTAAGCATGTATATATTTTTAAAAAATATAAAACTGATGTATATTGTTTTACATTTTTTCTCTTAGTAGCTTCATTTTGTTTCTACCCAAGGGACCAGTCTTCTTTTTTTAAGATTTGATCTTGTTGCCCTGGCTGGCATAGCTCAGTGGACTGAGCATGGGCTGCAAACCAAAGCATCGCAGGTTCGATTCCCAGTCAGGGCACATGCCTGGGTTGTAGGCCACAGCCTCCAGCAACCACACATTGATGTTTCTCTCTCTCTCTTTCTCCCTCCCTTCCCTCTTTAAAAATAAATAAATACAATCTTAAAAAAAAAGATTTGTTCTTGTTTTATGGTGAAAAAAAAGGGAGGCATAAATATTCTGTTTCTTTTTGTTATTCACATTGACATTAAATTCATAAATTAATTAGATGAAACAATATTGTAAATTACAGTATCCAATGTTTCAAAATCTAATCATTTAAAAAAATACCCATCTATGAGTGGTAATTCAAATAAACATCCAATTAAAAAGAGAATAAAAATACTTTTTAGGAAATAAATGTTGAAGTTATTTGGGAAATAGACTTGAAGCTGTAAATCATTTTAATGTGCATATAATTAATTGTCAGTTTTAAATTGTGAAATTTACTTAAATATGTTGTAGCTTTTTGGGTTTTGTAATGCTAGGTAAAATGCTAAATGATAGATGTGAGAAGTCGATATTATCCTTGTGGCATTTTTGTTCAGCTATTTAATAGCTTTCCTACTAGGCATGTAAGAGAGCAACCAATATTTTTGCCTTGATTTACAGGAAAATGAACACTCTATAAAGGGTAAATCTATTAATTAGAGACCTGTGCAACTTTCTTTCTTGCTTGTGTAATCGTTAAATTGATTTTTCCAGTCCATCATGTAATTGCTCCAGCGATGGAATCCTGCTTTCCACTCTTGTTCTGCTTCATCAATATTTCCTTTAAAACATAGAATAAATTGAATTAATCTAAATTTAATTTTTCTTTATGTTAATTGTAAAATAATTTTTATAACAGATGCGAGTTTTTTCAAGTACACTGCACAGCAATTTTTATTTTTCATTATTTATTATTAGCTTTTCTTACTACCTGAATAGCTTTTAATAAATTGTATGTCATATAATAATGCACATAATGTACTTGTATTAAACATATATAAGGTACAAAAATGTATAATACATAAAATGCAAACATTGGTGTATAGATCATATGTTGAATTACATTGCATTGCATATGTTTGTTTTGTTTCTAAAAATATATATAATATTCATTTTATTGATTACCCCACTCATAACAAAAATTTTAATACAACTTACTTACATAAGTAATTATAATTCAGAGTATTATTTCTGATGAAATGTTTATATCACTATATATTTGCAGAGATAACTTTGCAATTGGCACTCTGTATCAATTTTGCACTCATCCAATATCAATATATTTTAATTCCAAACAACAATTAGTTGTTAAAAATAGTTTATTGAAACTAGTATTGGAAAGCCATTTATTAATTGCTTTGCAAATTAGAAAGACTACTAAAATAATCTCTGCATTCAGTAATTTGCAAAGTACATTCATGTATCAAGGGAGAGAGCTGTTTTTGTCAAAAATAATGTGAGGCAATGAAGCAAAAATGGCCTATGTACAACAAAAATCTTAAAATCCTGACTTATTTGAAAGCATATATCTTGCATTAAAGAATAAAGTTTGTGAACAATAGAAACTTTAAATTATAAACTTTTAAAATCATATATTTATATTCCAGATATAAATAGTCTAGAAGATGCTTTTCATTATTTAAATTTATAAGTGGTTTATACCTCTGTAGCTATTTTCCTTTGTAAACATTTAGGATGGCAAGCTAGACATTGATTTTTAAAAAATTTGTTACTTCTATTTTCTTAAAAATAAGACTTAGACTTTTTTAAATATATAATTTTCTGTGAGGAATTTTAAATAAATGATTATAAATTTTAAGGTATTAATTTAGAGAAGACAGTTCATATGTTATACTGTAATAAAATATACATACAAGTACCTTTCTTTCATTTATACAATAATGAGGTGCATTCATTGATTCATTTTTAGTTTATATAAAAATCAAAATACTTAAAACATTTGTACTGCCATCAAAATATTCTCTGTAATTTAGATTAAACTGAGGTTTGCAATGTTCATAATGTTTGGAAACATTCAAATATTTGAGAATTTATACAAAAATGTCCAATTTTTATGCAAAAATTACTTTTAACGTTCAATGACTATAAAGGCTCAAAAACATTAGATGTGGGAGAAAGATGTTTAATATCATAACCAAATTAGCCATTTTGTATTATTTCTTATGATAACTATTATGTTTAAAATGCTATATGCATGGAAGAAGGACTAGAAAGTTCAGAAAAAACAAAGTATTTGATATAACAAATAAATTATTGGCAATTTAGCATTTAGATCATAAATTCAAATACTTAGAGAAATTGTCTCAGATATGATTTTCTTTTCTTATTGGGATAATTCCAAAACTATTAATTCATATACAAGCAAATTTATTTGCTTATGTGTCATAATCAAATCTCTGTGTGATATATTGTATTGACATACTTAACTTTATATTGTATAAATGCTCTGCAAACCTGACAATATTTTTCATTTGAAAGTACTGAACTTTGACTGAGATGATAAAATATAAATAATTTAAATATTTTTAACAGACTTCAGAGAAACTGAATATGCTGAAATAATATTTTGAGTCTCATGACATAAATCAAAACCAAAACTGAAAGTTTTTCTCCTCCCCTCACCCTCTCCAAAACGAGACTATTACTTAAATGTTCATAGATTTACCATCTGTGAGAAGTAGATTACAATGTACAAACAGCTCTAGCCAGTGTGGCTCAGTTGGTGGAATGTCTTCTCATGGGTCAAAAGGTCACAGGTTCATTTCAGGTCAGGGTACATGCTTAGGTTACAGGTTTGGTCCCCAGCTGGGGTACATTTGAGGAAATTGATTGATATTTCTCTCTCACATCATTGTTTCTCTCTCTCCCCCCCCCCCCTTTCTCTTCCTCTCTAAGCATGTCCTCGAGTAAAAATATAAAAATAAAACCCCTCCAAAAAAAAGCCATGCAAGGCACTACAGTGTGAAATAAAAAACATCAGTTTAGACTTTGTAGAGACATGGGTTGAAATTCCAGATTGAGCACTTATTGTATAAGTGATAGAAAGAATTTTCAACTTAGGTCAATCCTTCCTCCCTACAGAAACAGTAATAAAAATAAAGCCATATTTTGTCTTGTCAATTAAAAAAGAGCAACATTTCAAAGGAGCTGATTCTATTTAGTCAAGTATGACAAGTTAAAAAAATAAATCAACACTAAGAGGTAAGTCAATCCAAAATTGTTAACAGTTCACATTTGAAGAAGAAATTAAATTGATATTGAATTTTGTTGAGCATTATAAGAAGACTATTTTATGTATTTTGAGAGTTCACTGAAAATGTCTTCTGCTCCTCTTACTACTTGCATATTTCCATATTTGTTGACAAATTATTATAATTACTGAGAAATACATATTCTTTATGCAGTATATCAGAATTTATTAGTTTTCCTGCTATAATTTTGGTTATGTGATGATGTAAAGGGACTTACATAAACTCAGGCTAGGCTTTGTGAAGATTTCATAAATAAAGTGAAACAAAATTGGAATTTTATTTAATTATAGGTTAGTACCCATTTTTGGTGTTGTTGTTGTAATGTTTTGTTTTGTTTTTAATGAAGGATAGAAAATCCAGAATTTGGAAACAAAAAACATTTTGATTTTTTTCTCCAAATCAGTTTTTCACTTTCATTTTTTGGTTTTCATTCTTGCTAAATGATTAGCAAACAGAAGTACATGATTCTTCTAAGTAACCAATCCGAGTGGTAACTCAGGTCTTAAACTTATATGTGGTCTTCTTTAGTTTTGACAAGTAACAATGTGTCACCATTTATTCAAAGGCCAAAGGAGCCAATGGATATAATATGTGAAACTGAAATGTTTTCTTTTCTTTTAAATAAATACACTCTTTCGCTTTTAGTGAAAAATGTTAATTTCTTGACATTGACTGGGTAATTTCTCTATTTTCTTTTTCCCCCCAATGAGATTTTATAGTTAAATTTTTAATGAAAACTCTGAGTGTGATAACATTTGAAACAAATATTGTACATTTTATCTCTTGCAAGTGCACATAATAATAGCATAGGCATGTGCTAATGTATGGTTGGAAAGTTAAGTGCTAGAATTCATGTGTTTAAACAAGTTTTAGGGGTTGTTTTATTTGAGAACATTTATTGCTCACATGTAAACTACTACTTATAAAGCTTACTGAATTTTCATCTCAAGTGAGGTAAGCATTATTACATTTCTCCTTTTAAAAAATCCAGTCTTTAATCATGCTTTGAAATTTTACTTGTAGAGCTTCCTTTTTTAAAACAATATTTTCATTAAAGTTTCCACCCAGGTCATCTGAACAACTTCAATGTTCAAAACATCAAAAATTGAAATGTTTGAAGTTTTGCAACTTGAAAAATATAAAGTTCGATAAAAACATGTGCTTTTAATTTTCTAAACACCTTCATAAAATTATTTATAAAACCTAAAAACCTTTAATTTTACATTGTTTTTCTTTGTTTAAATGTAATTTTATTGTTAATGAATACATTGTTGATGTTATAAAACCACATGCATTTACTTTAAAATTTATAAAGTATGTTTAATGTAACTTTTTTGATAAATTATCTGAGATAAATAGTGCTGAGTTATTGTTATATTTGCAGGACACATGGGACTATTCCCAGAGCATGACAGTAACCCAGAGCTAGCAGGGCATTTCCCCACAGTGCTGCTCAAACTAAAAAGCTGTTCAGCACTGCATAAGAAGGAGCAGAAACTAGCTAAAATTTTTAATGTTTGTTTATTAAATCTACTTTATGGCAGTTTAATATTTAGAGATAGAGATTTTGAAGTACATCTACGGAAACTGCTAATTCTTAAATTTCATTTCATCAACAAATAAATTGCAATAGACCATATGTGCCTGAACCGGAATGGCTCAGTTTGGCTTATAATGAATTAGTTAGTCATTTACAATCCCTCCAACCCCTCTCTTAATTTTTCTCAAATGACGACCTTCTCATTTAAAATATTTTAAGTAAAGATTGGGAACCTGTTGTGTGTGATATGTTAAATGGTACCTCTTCTCTTGGCAGATTAAACATGTTACTTCATTGTTATTCACACCCAGAGGACACAAGGGCATCACTGTGTCTCGGCCAAGGAGTGCGGAGCCCATCTCTGGATATATACTATGTCACAGAACATTTGGTAATATGCAGAATGCTGGTATATAAGAAACATTTCCCAGACAGATGGAGTACATAATTATAATTTTGGTGAATAATGTGTGATAATCAGAAGGCATATTAAATAATAAAATATAGCTCCGAGGTGCCCCCATTTGCCTGAAACTAACCCCTTCCCTCTCTAAGGGGGGGTTAGTTTCTAATAAGAAACTAAACATATCTATTAATTTGTGATATTGAATATATAGTTTGAAAATTACAGTGTTACGATAAACAGAATGATAAAGTGTAAAGGAAGTGGCCAGCAATATGTCTGAAGGTTGAAAGTCAGTTTACTTTTATTTGAAAAAATTTAGGTAGAAATTGCCTGGAAGAGTCACGTGTATTATAAAACAAATGGTCATTTTAAACCCAGGCATTGAATTGGTTATGTATGTTATTTTTTTACTGTCACAAAAAATGTGATTATTCACGTTGGATGTTCAAGTTGATTTAAATAATTTTTCGCTAATAAATTTTCAAATAATATAATATTTGAACCGATTTTCTTAGTATCTCCCTACATAATTCTAGAAAACCACTCCTTGAAGATTAGTTAACTAAATTACTATCCATTTACTGCATTATGCAATATATGTACATGTTCTTAGATAAATGTCTCCAAGTTCTGAATACATTTAGAAATATTTGTATTGTTTTAAATGTAAATTTTAGAGTTTTCTCTTTTAGAAATTAAAAGTTCCACTATTTATCAATAATTTGTTTTATCTCTGAGTATAAATTATATTTTGTTCTAGTTGTAGTTATAGATATTATTTAGTTTATGTATTTGTTTATTCATTATCCATGAATTAATTTCACAAAAAAAATAGCTGAATGGCCAACAGTACCCTATTTTAGTTCCACAACTGTTTTATGTTCTTCTAGGGAAAATTTTATATTTTACGTTTATTTGTTTAACTACAAAAATGCTACTTATGTAGTAAGCTCTCAAACATAGCCAAACACACCCAAACTTGCTGTAGGAAAGTCGTTAATATAATGGACTCATTGGAATCAAGTAATTAAAATGTTACAGATTAACACCATCACCATGGCCTGGATAGTCTAACTTTTCCCTCTTTTACATAACCCACAACCAATTATTGAACTAAATACTAAAAACACACACTTGTTATTTCCAAGATTTTGGGAAAAAACAGTGTCCAGAATCGGCATTGTTGATCACGTAGCTTAGTAAAAACTTTTGGTGACTCTGTGTTCAAGGTTAAATATTTTTGTTCAGTGCTTTTGAAGACAGGCCAGCTTGTACTGCTATTCTGGGTCCCATCTGGATTTCTAAATCAAAAGAAAAAGACATTATAGCTCCACTGAAATCATTGTTAGATAAAAAAATATTGTTTTAAAAAACCAGAGGTTTTTAACAAGTCAGAAAAATTTGTGGATCTGGTTTAATGAGGTCAAGCATAAATGAACTCGGATGAATGTTTTCAGTACCTCGAAGCAGTATGTTAGTTAAAATTGTAGGAAGTAAAATTTAGAGAACTTTTTACATGCATCTCTGCATAACATTCATGGAGAAAAACATATTTTCTATTCAATAATGATTTTTTTAAACATGCTCAAAGGTTAGTGTTATTATTTTTTTCTCTTTTCCCTTATCCCAGGCTCAGTCTTTTCACAATGAACATTAATAACATCTACTAAACATCTCTTGCATCTATCTCATTCTGTTTGTTGTCCTTATTGCCTGAGTATGGGACCAATTACACATCTCCTTATTATGTAATAAAACATTACTCTAGGAAACTACCTTTAGTCTCACTTTTAAGTTGATCTTACCTTCTTGAAGATCTGTTCACAGAATAAAATGCTTTTAAGAATTCCAAGTGAGTTCAGACAAAGGTTAATAAATATGATGCCACTCATTCTTCCAAGCTTATTTTCAGATATTTTCTTCATAAGCCAGCCAACAAGAATTAGGAATAGTTCCTTAGTAATGTCCTTCTTTATTTTGATTTCTTTGCCTTTGCTCCAGCTATTACTTCTGCTTGAAAGTATTTCATTCCCTAACATCAATTGTCTGATTCAAAACTTGTATATTCTCTTTTTGTGATGATAATTTTCATACGTCTCATTGTATTTTTAATAGTCCATTTTTTTTGTTTTTCCATTGCTATTTTTTCTCATATGCCCTCTTCTACCTCCCCTCTACCCCACACAAAAAGACAAACACCGTATGTAGAATCGTATGAACAAACAGAACTAACAAGCAAAATAGAGACAGATTCATAACTAGAGAGCAAGGATGAGCAGGATGACAGTAGGATGTGGGGTTGAGCGGTGGAGAGACCCATCAAAAGAAACAGAACTCATGGACAAGGACAACTGTGCCATCATGGTTTTTAAATCAATAACACTTGACTCTATTTTTAGAAATTTATAGTTCTGGCTTCATTTACACCTTTGCAGCACTCATAATATAGTACTACCTTGGTCACACAAATGGCAACTCCAATAGTGAATGTTGTGAAACTGGCTCCAAGTAGAAAATCCATAGGTTTTCCATTAATATATATTTTAAGCAAGAATTGTGAGATAAACATTGCTCTAGGCACTAGAAATAGAAATAAATACAGGAAACATAGTCTCCATCAGCGTATGTACAAACAAGCATATCCATGAAAACAAAGAACCACGAAGATATGGTAGCCTAAACCAGACATAAACAACAGGCACATCATCTGAAGGGGGAGCAATGGCTACGTTTGAAAGCACAGTAACTGAAGGAATGAACTCCAGTTGAAGGAGAGGAGACGAGGAACTGAACAAGAATGAATAGTTGGGGAAACTGAAGAAAGGGAACAGAATTACAATGGGCAGAAATAATGAGTGTTTGTTTCAGTTCAAATATTAATGAAAACCTAGTTTTCTTGGATGCTAGGGTAGGGGAAATACTATTAGAGTTATAGTTTTAAGATGTTAGTGTTAACACATTAAAACCTGACAGTCTAGAAAAATGGTTTAGACTTTAGCCTGTAGGTATTTACTATTCTTGGGAGATTTTTTTACTAAATGGCTTACTGTGAGCAAAACATTTTTGAATTATTGACCTGGGGGTAATATCTAGAATAATTAAGAAACCTGTAAAGTAGTCACAGGTACTTCCATCATGAACAGAAGAGTGTGGTGATAAGGAGTAACAAGCCATTCCTTTCTCTTAGAGGCATTCTGCCTTAAGCAAAATCATATAAGAAAAATTCCAGTTGAATTTTCCTAAAAGTTCAGCACATAAAATTCTTCATCATTCAATACTTTGTGTATGGAAAGGAAGTTGGCAGTAGTGATAGCAAATGTATTTTCTTTTTTACCACAAGCCTGTGAACACAGTGGGTTTTGGAAAGAGAGGCAGACATTCATCCAACATGATTATCTAGAGGCAGATTTTTCATCAAGAACTTATATCAAATAAGCACCACAAATTTATATTTTATAATAGATGCAGACATACTCAACCATGAATTCAGGCACTTTAGCAATAACTAGCTTTTGATGGACTAGTTGATTTTACTTAAGAATTGGATGATTTAATAAGATTTATTAATAAGCAGAGCTATTCAAGCTAAACCCATAATATAACAAGATTGAAACCTCCTGCTTTAGAGTATTATTTGGGAGAGGTCCTGAAGCAATTTCTCCAGTTCACAGATGGCACACTTGTCTAGTTGAATTATTGAGTCTTTCTCCTTTCCTTCAAAGCTTTAGAAACTAACAACTACAGCTGCTGGAGGCTGGATGTTACACCGGGATAACCACCGGTCTGATTCGGTACAGCAATTCTTATGTTCCTAAATTGCCCACTTGCCTTCTAATTCCACTCTAATTAACTTATGGCAACATTTTAACTGCACATTCATTTCTGGGTTCTGCAAATGGTGACTTAAGCAGAGCTGACTTGTACTTGAGTTCAACAGTGAAGCAGTAATGACACTGCCAGTGTTGATTTAACAAACTTTGTCTCATGAAATAACTCATGACACTCCAAATTACAATTCAGAGATAATACAGTTCCTTTGCCTATGGATTCACATTGAGTTTTCAAGAAGTGATTGAAATAGCTACTGAAAAGATGAAGCATTTTACTTTGTAATTTGAAGAAATATACAAAGACTTTAAAGTTTAGCAAGAGATATTATTCTCTTCCTATCTGTAACAATTAAAAAATTTTGTGAAATACAACATATTTTCCAGATATATTCTTAAAATACATACAATTTTAATCTCAACATTGTAAGATGCATTTAAACATCTTAACTTTACTATTTTAAAAACAAAATCTGTTCTTGTAACAAAATAGAGAATTTAAAATGATAATGCCTAAAATTTTCTATGAACAAGAATGATTTTTGTTTTATTTTCACTATCATATTATTTTTGTACTTTGCAATATCTAAAAATCTATTATGCTTATCTTCTTATATAGGTCTGAAAAGTTTTACATTTTATTTTATTTAACCAAGAAAAGGCAGATCAAGCCCTGGCTGGCGTAGCTCAGTGGATTGAGCATGGGCTGGGAACCAAAATGTTCCAGGTTCGATTCCCAGCCAGGGTACATTCCTGGGTTGCAGGCCATAACCCCCAGCAACCGCACATTGATGTTTCTCTCTCTCTCTCTCTCTCTCTCTCTCTCTCTCTCTCTCTCTCCCTTCCCTCCCTAAAAATAAATAAATAAAATCTTAAAAAAAGAAAAAAAAAGAAAAGAAAATTTAAAAAAAAAAGGCAGATCATCTTTGCAACATCTGTTAGATGCTAGAAATAATAAAGTGGAGAGTAGAAATAATAGGCAATGACCAGTAAGTATCAGTGAGGAGGGGCGGCAGTGAGGGGGGTGTAATAATGATGGAGGCACCGGTGAAACAGTGACACTAATAAACAGGGAAGGATACACAAGACGATGCTTTTCCTAAGGTCGTGTTCTTGGCTTCATTTTGCATACAGAAAACTCCTAAAGATAAAGAGAGACATTTAAAAGAAGTTTTCAATGTGTTCCAGGGGAATTTTCTGTGACTGCAATACATTTTTGAACTTAACCAAATTTCATTACTGATTTGGTTTAATTATGTGTTCTAAAATCTGCAATATTATAGTTGACTAAAAGAGAGCTTTCTTAAATTGTTATTAATAATTATATATATTCTTAATTATATAACCAATCAAAATAAGTTTAGGACCCACTGAATTCTATTATAGCAACTTTGTAGTAATTCATTAATTCATTTCCAATATCTCAATCATACTGGCTCCATTTTAATCTACAAAGCTAATCCTAGATTGATTGGTTTTATAAAATTTCTTGTATTGAACTTCATGGTTTTCTACAGGCTTCTAAGATGAATCTTTAAAAAAAATGGAATAATTTAAATAATTTTTCTTTGTATACATATACAAATATGCCTGTTTCTGTTTGAGTCTTGTATAGTATACAGATTGCATATGCATATTTGTGTATATACATATATGTGTTGCATGTGTGTCTGTATTCTGCAACTCAAATATTAAAGAAACCAAATACAATTGAACAAATATTAGTTACATAAAAATTTAATTTATATTATAACATTCTATTGCACCTCACTGTAAGGATGCCAAATTTTATAAATAATGAGTACATTTTAAGCATTTTGCATGCTCAGCATCTATCATAAACCTAAACAGGAAGTTCAAAAATATTTGTTAAAATGTGAAGTGAATAGCCTTCAGAACTTTGGATATTTATTTGCATTAATTCAGTATCTGTTATAAATTATTAATTTTCACAGTATTAGTAAAGAGAAACTCACTTTACTCTCATATGTTAAGATAAAAAAGTCTTGTAAATATTACTTTAAAGATTAAAAACTTGAAAACTCACATTGACTCTTTAAGTGCCTAAAGATATAATAATACTATATTTATCTTCAAAGTCCTGTATCAGCTGATGAAAACTAATAATATGCATGAGTGTCTCTTAAGCCTGTTCAATTATGTCCTCCATCTAGACTCACTGTCTATACTGTTTTCCCCCTGGATGAATAAAGACAATAATATCAGTTACTAAAGCGCCTTGGAGTGTATAATAATGCAGTCATGCTTAGAGTACTCTTTATAAGTGGATTACTTACAATTTAGATTATATTTAATGCAAATATCTAAATCTAGTTTTTATTGGTTATTTGCTCCCTTCTATTACTCAACATTTTCTTTGAAAACTACAGAAATGAAGGCAGTAATTTTTGAGGAACAGTTCCCTAGATTCCTTAGTTTGTTGTGTCCTCCTCACTCCAACAGGTTTGTTTGTC